CAGTCTGATACGGATATGGATTATATGTCGTGTGTTATGTCGTCTCCCACACCTCAGACAAAGGTCAGGCGCGACACAAATGCACCAGACCTTCCAGTATTGGACGAAGAGGCTATGGAGACAGACTCGGAACGGGGTTCAGAATCAGGTAGTCCAGTCAATGAGACTGGGCAAGGGCGGGATAGCCCGCCGGTAGACGAACAACCCTTGGATTCTTCCGTTCCTGCAGGCGAAACTTATTACGAAGTTCAAGACCCGTTTGTGAACGAAGACACCCCGTCTGCGCAATTAGAACAGTACTTGAAGTCTACTTTGGACGAAAAGAAGACACAAAGCCAGGTCAACACTCGCGAGGGAACAGCCATTGCTGAAGAGCTGGCAGAGCCGGGACAGCCAGAGTCCAGTGCCGTGGAGAATGCTGTCGATTGCGCAGAGATACCCTCAGCTGCGCACGAAGCCTCCCAGGAAGATAACTTGGACTCTAGCGTCCCAGAGAGTGGAGAGTATATCATGGACGAGCAACCCAAACCGGACTTGGACTCCAGCATACCCGAGAGTGAAGCTGCAATGGCAGACCCAGCAAGCTTAGAGCAGGCCCTTGAGTTGGAACTAGAGCACCACTCAGTCCCCCACTCCCCACAAGGCTCAACTGAATCCGACATGGTGAGCGAGTCCAGCCACGATGAAGACGACGAAATGGACCCAGTAGCAAAGCGAACCCTACCCCCAGATAGTGACGCAGATTCCGGATCTGACCATTCAGACGAGGAAGACGAAGACGAAGACGAAGACATGATTGACGAGACGCACGAAACAGCCAGCATTGAGCTCGGCGCAGAGACCCAAGATGCCGCCCAGCTCGCGCAGCAGCAGCTTTCAGACCTTGAACCCGAATCCGACACGGAAAGTATCAACGAGAATTGGTTTGTCTCCCTTCGACACATCCGTCCCAAAGGACCTGTCTGGTCCGACGACCCCAACACGCCCTTCAAGCAATGGGCACGAGCGGACCAGGCCGTTCTTTCTGAACGTAACCGACGAGGCGGCGCATACCTGCCAGTTGATGAGAAGGGTGTGATACAACGTCCTGGGTATCGTCGATGAGAGCTATTCTGCACCCTATCCATGTTTCTAATTCATTTATCTTCTGGGATATTATTCTTCGTATACCCTTTTTTTTCAGCTGTACTTTTAAGATTGTTATTCTACCTTCTTTGTTTGTATTACTCTTATCAAGGTCGCTACTATATTTCGTCTTCTATTTTAAGATTTTATTCATGAGAGATATATGAGGAGTGTGGTTCGTATATATTATGATCTTTAAGCCAGTAATCCCGTATTCTAATGCCTCTTCGATGGGAAGAATGGAAGTGGATTGTTCAACGAGGGTATTGTGATTCTCAAAGCAAGGCCAGATGGAATTTCAATCGAAGAGTCGCTATACAGCAAGAGGTGGGCAATTAAAAAAAATGGGCCATTGTCCACTTCCCGAATAGGAAGCATTGTTCAGCTGAATCAAATGACAAATGCATTGTTAACGTAGTAGGTAAGCATCTTATTTCTCCAAACAGCGACTTGCATCTTTCCCTTCTCCCTTCTTCCCCCTTACTAAATCAGGTATCGATTGATTATGTACCTTAATCGGCTCCACCATGAATGAACAGTATCAATCACGCAGGCAATAATGTAAAACTTAATGTCTATCCTTTTATGAAAGAATTAGTAATGGGCTAGTTACCAGGTAAAATAGTAAAAATGGATAAAGGTAGATATTTTCAATTCATATACAATAGATGGATGCAACTAGCATTAATTCATCATGCCAAGAGTCGCAGCACTGAATGAATCAGACCGGACCAAGGGCTCTATAATCCAGGTTCCAAACCCTCCATACTCGGGGTATCACGGGTATGCACACTAACTTTCCTGCCTTTTCTTGGCTGGAAACAAAATACACAAGTAAAATATAAAAAATTGTCATCATCAGGTTGTTGTTGTCATGACCGAGCCAACCCAAACCAGAACGCCAGTATGAACAAATGTTGAATGATTCCTTCCTTTTTTTATTCAGGAATTGTTGTTTGTGATAGATGTTGGTGGTAGACCATCATTTAAGCATGACGGAAGGGTTCATAGGCGTTCGTGCGACCAGTGGTCTGGTTGTTGTGGATCGGAGGCGGGGGAGGGTAAGAGGTGTTGGTGTAAGGGATCGGCTGGGTCTGGCCGTGAGGGCCCAGAGCCTCGTAGGTGTAGGGAGTCTTTTCGGCCATGACAGCGCGATTGCGGTTGCGGTGGTTGTAAGGGGAGCGACCGGAGCAGCAGCAGGAGCTGATGATCCAGAAGAGAGTGGCTCCGAGGGAGAAGGCGACTGCGAGCCAGGTGGCGACGTAGATGTTCTTGCCCATTTGACCCTTGATGCCGTATTGCTCGAGATCGGACTTGAAGACGCCCTTGAGGACGGCGAACATGGCGGTGGAAGTGACGGAAGCGGCAGCGGTGAAAAGGAAAGCAACAGCAGACACCAAGCTGGTCACGCAGCTACCCCAGCGACTGCAGATAGCAAAGACACCGACGACCAGCTCGACGATGGTTAGAGCGAAGGCGATGATGTAGGCGATGAACATCCACTTGGAAACGGCCTTGTAGGTGTTCAGGGCGCTCTTGACGTTGCTGGGAAGGGCATTCTCCAGACCGGTCTCTTCCAAGTTCCAGACCTCCATAGGGTTGAACCAGAACTCGGCCTCGGGCTTGGAGCAGTTGCTGGTTTGGTAGCTGTTGTTGGAGGTGATGTTTCCTTCACAGTAGCCCCAGAGACCAATAGCATAGAAGTCCTCGATGTTGTATTGTTCCTCGATTTCCTCGAGCGCAGCGGAGAGATCGCCATCCGAAACACCGGTCAGGTCACTCACGACGGAGGATACTGTTGATGCGGTGGAAGAGGCTTCGGAGGTAATGTTCTTGAGGTTGGCCTGAAGCGGAGTTAGTACGATCGGACATTTGAGTGGGGATGCATGAAAGGGTAAGCAAGACGTACTCTGAAGAAGTAGAGATCATTTAGCGTGCTGGAGCTGGATTTTGTGCAGCCCAGGCCCACCATGATGATGCATATTAAGGAGGCGATGGTGAGGACATATGGAGTGAAGATGCAGACAATGCGACCGCCATTACCCATGGTGACGGTTGATGTGGAGGATGACGTGGGGGATGTATGTATGCTGTGGTTGTTTTCCCTTGCTTATCGGGGGGGGTAGATTTGATTTCAGGTCCGAACAGGTGGTTCAATAAAAAGAAGCAGGACACTGAACGTGAGTGTATCAGGGTGATGGGTGGTGGTGGTGAAAAATGTGAGAGATGTAAGATGAGAAGAAGGCTGGGACAGGATGATTTTATAAAAGAGGCTGCTGGGGGATCAACACGAAATTACTTGTTATTTACTGCTTTGAATTTAGTTTATTGGGGAGGCGCAGTCAGATGGAAAGAGTTTGGTTGATCAGCGGGCCAATCACGGAGGGCAGATGATGGACTACGCCACGCTTGTTTCTATAATAAATTCGAGCGAGTTTCCACCGCAACCCAAACGCGGGATCCAGCACGGTTGATAGTGGAGCCATTTTCTTATTTAAGGGTTCTAGTCATGAGCAGATATTTTCATAGCAAGCAATATTTCTGTTGACATTGCACAGAAAAACACTGCAAGGGATTAATCCCCATTGAGGAATCTGACCCTCGTGGCGGAGACTCACCAGCCCTACCGCCACGTCAGAAAGTGGCTGGGGTAATACGCGTCCTCTTCCTCATTATTATCATCATTACTCTGATATTAACCTTCTTTCCTAATATTTTATCAAGTCAGTTGATGTATTCAATTTCACCAACTTTATACACACACGGAATTCATGCTATTAACTGAGTAGTCCTGCGCAATTTATGTCGATCGGGCCAAAGTTGGATCGTATCACTCCAACCAACCTATCTGATACACGGTGGACCAAAGAGGCACCCGTACAGTGAAGTAGCGATCGTCATCATCGGGAATCTGCTTAACTCTTCCATTCCCAACTTAGATTTCCTGTGAGCCTGGATCTCTGGATGAGTGTGTCTCACCCTCAGCCCACCAACCACGGAACCTCCACTGAACTAGGCTTCATCATTCTGAGCTTGGCAATACGCGGTCAATGTTGGATGCTTTTATTGGTATGCATGACATTCTCGGAAGTTTCTTCTGCATCGACATATTCCCTGCTGTCCGTCCCATGGTACTGCCTCAGGAACGTCCGATGAAGTGCCCAGTGAGTTATCTCGACAGTGATTGATGGATCATCACCACCGAGTATTCTTAGCGAGGCAACTGGCGTAATCAACCACGACTAGTCGAGAGTCATGACTTCATGACCACCTATGAAAAGAAGCAAATCTGCCGTTTCAATTCTCAACCGTCGCGGCAGACGGGAAAAGTGCCGGGATTGACCTTCTCCGATCGACCAGACTATTAACCCGGGCTTACGTTGAGCGTCTTGGCGGGCCCAGTCTCTCATCCATGGTTCCTCCTTCGGCCTCGACCATCCCTTCACTGCCATACCTGCACTCGTTGCTTTCTCTTGCAATTCAACAACATCGCGGTGTTCATCCACGAACATCATTTATCCGATAAGGCTGATGAGGAGAACTATGTATATCCTATGACCAGTGGGTCGTCAGATCCCTACTTCATACGCAATTCGTTGAGCTATACTCGATGATCGTTGATAAGAATCCACCGACTACTCGTAATGGAGTACAACGTGCACTATTTCAGCGACAGGCGTGCCTCACTGCCTACAGATAACAGTCACAACCAGAATGCACAAGGATGGAGCGTCCAATACGGAATGCCTTGTGACGTCAGTCAGTGCGCTGCCACTAGTTAATGTATACTAGTACTCTCTGTACCACCGCCGCCCACTCGGACAAGATACTCCGTATAGTTCTCCGATGCACCGCATCTGCGACCCACCCAGACCTTAAAGATATGCCTCCAGGATATCCAGCATACCCGTGTACGCAGTTCCATCTGGGGGCTCCAGGCTGAAAATGTAGTCTCCCCACCATGGTCCGGCTGCCCACCACGACGCACCCTTCCATACGTCGGTGTTATTCGCCATGTACTCCAGCATCCCCGACACGGCACTCCGACATACATCGTTGGAACCCCCGGCATATTCGCCTATGAAGCCGACCTTCTTATTGTCCTTCAACCACTGTGTAGCTTCAGTGACCCGCTCTTTTCCGATGGTCTCGGACACGCAGGTCTCCGACGTGCCGGAACCGTCGGAGTCTAGGTACTGGTGCATTTCATAGACGATCTTGTCTTCGGGGTCGGTCAAATTCTTCATGTTGTCGTTGACGTCGACCCACGTCCAGGCTCCCGTCCAGGAGTTGCCTTCGACGAAGATGTACTGGCTGGTCGCACCTGCGGCGCGGATGCCGTTAATGGCTGCTTGGTTGAGGTTCAGCACGAGATCCTGGTCCATGTCGTGATATTCGTTGTCTGCCTTGTCAGCATGATCCGCGACGGGCTTGTGGGAACTTACTAGTGTCAAACATGACCAGGTCGTTGTCTTTGTACTGGCCGGCCAAATTCTCCCAGAAGGTCTGGAAATCTGACGTGCTGGAGATGATCTCGCCGTTGCTGTTTTGTTAGCAAGCATCACCTACGGGGACTGCGTACTTACTATCTGCCATAGTTATGAGGGTCGACAAGCGCATGGGCGCCTCCGTCCGTTACCGCTTTTATCACCTATCTCGTCAATACTACTCAAACACAGACTGGAGTCATCTTACTGTCGTCAAGTTGGCCAGATACTCCTCATCATATGAACCAGTCATCGAGTCGGGCAGCAACCTCTCCATCATGAACTGGACGCGGAAGAAGTTCATTCCCTTGTCGATTAACGTAGAGATGGCTGAGGGGTCGGGAAAGATGTAGTCGGTTCCCTGCGACATCAGCATACGCCTATACTTTGGCAATGATACATACCCAAACCCCAGGGATATTGGTCCCAAACTCAGCACCAGACTCGTTCGATCCGAACCCTATTATGTCAGCTTCGCAACAAGGATGCAAATGGAATCTTACATTCAAACACAGACGCCCTCTTCTTATGTCCAGGACCATGAGGCACAGCCAACGCGGAACCAGCCGCGGCGGCAAGAAGCAGAGTGCTCTGAAACTTCATGATGACTGCTCGATTAAGAGGTCTACATTTAGTGTCCAAGGAGATGAGAGTATCCAACCTTTATATTTTCCCTTCTACTCTAACTATCCCAATCTAGCACGGAGGTAACAAATTTAGCCAGACATCTCCTCCGCCGTTTATTCAAGTTGAAACATCCGAATGTAGAGAATAACGGATATTCAAACAGGAAATGTTGCAGATCTTCACACCTGCAGATACCATCAATGCCTAGAGGACGGATAAAGTCGAAGCAGGGACTACGCTCGGTCAATGATCCGCCTTGGCAGGGTCAGTGTCATGAAACTGATACGGAAATGAGGTCCGTGACGGGAGAAGAAGGATCAACATCTGAGAGGATAGAGTAGTGCATAGGTGGAGCTTTCATGTCAGTGACATGGTAATAGTAGTAGCGATGCATTCAGCCGGACTACCGTAGGGCAGTCCCTCATCAAAAATATATAACCGTTAGTACAAATCTATCCTACTACACATCATCAACCAATGAACAAAATTGAGCATTTACAACAGTAATTAGCTCCATTTGAAACTACTAGTGTATATATGTCATCTCAAACGTAGTAGTAGTAGTAGTAGTAGTAGTAGTAGTAGTAGTAGTAGTAGTAGTAGTAGTAGTAGTAGTAGTAGTATCCAACAAATAATATAGTACTATAAAAATGATACTACCAAGCCCCCAACCCCCCCATCTCCCCCTTCATATCCTCCGCCTGCAAAAGATGATACTTCATTCCGGGATGATAATTATTCCACCAAATACACGACGTCCCATCATCATCGATACACGTGGCATTGGGGAATCCATACGCCGTCGGATCATCCAAGATTTTCGTCATGAATGACCACGAGTCATAGAGGACGGTAGTTACCTTAGTACACATCCTAGTAAGCTTTTCTCCTTTCCACCCTCACACATAAACAAATCAAAAAGATAAAAAAGAAAAAAAAAAAAAAAAAAAAAAAAAAACGGAAAGAAAAAGACTTACATCCCCCTTCTCCTTGTTAAATTTCTCCACCATCTCCTCCAAATTCCGATTAAAAACCGCCAAATACTCCGCATGCTGCTTGACGACCTCCTCACCCTGATCCAAAAAGAACGGACTGCGACTCGTCGGCGGGACATTCAGGAACAGGAACTTCCTGCCCCCGTTCTTGTATACCTCCTCCACGAGACTTTCTAGTCGGGATATGAGCTTGAGTGTGTATGTTGCTGCGTCGGTGGAGTAGAATGCGTTTCCTATACTTTTTATTCCCCGATACCCATTAGCTTTCTTTCACACCCACCCCCCAACCTCTTAAATAATACTACATAAAGAGAAATAATAAGATGGGATGGGAAGAAGGAGGGAGGAGGAAATATACTCATTAATCCCAATCCACACCCCAAACACTGCATCCTTAGCATCCCAAGGTGCAGTCTCCGGTTTCTCGGCATACACATCCTCAAACAGCCGGAACTGCGATGCCAAGTCACCGGGGTATGCGGGGACAAGGGCATTGTCGATTGTGGCGCCCCCGGCGGCGAAGTTGTAATTGAGGACTAGAGAGGCGTTTTCGGTTGTTGTTAGGTAGCCGATCCAGTTGGGGCCGTTGGTTGTGGTGCCGGTTCCTGTACCCTCGGTGTTTTATTAGTATGGTGAGTGAGATGGGAATGGGGCGTGCCTACCTAGGTCTGGGTTGCCCATGGGGCTGGAGGCGGAGGGTTGGGTGCTTGAGGCGCTGAAGCCGGTTTGGGAGTAGGAGTCTCCGCTATATACTTGTTTAGTGGTGTGGTTAGGGGTGAGGGTAGGAAGAACGTACAAGGTGAAGAAGTAGGTGGGATTTGTGGTGGTGTTTTCTGCTCTTGGTCGTGGTACTTGGGTCCATGGTCTGGCTGTGGCTGTGGGGATAGCGGTCATGGTGAAGGTGATGCCGCTGGCGAGGAGCCAGGAGGGTGGGAGTTTCATGTTGGTGTATTGCTATGGTTGCAGTAATGGATTGTAGGTTTGATGAAGATCTTGGCTATGTAGAAGGTGAAGCTTGAAGCTGTGCTGATCTTCTGGATACTATTATATAGTATCACTAAAAGAGGGGTATGTATCACGCCCATTCTAGACTCAACTTGCAATTAATCAATTGGAGGTGACTGCTGTTGATCCATTTAGCCGACTGCGATCAGACCTCAATCGCGGTTGATGGAAAGAGAATTCCCCGTCCTGAACCCTGGTGTTGCGGGGTAGCAATCGAGCAATGCATGCTTGCTTGCATCCTATAGATAGCAAATCGGAGGGGGAAGAACATCACGCAGATATCAATCAAGCAATTGATCGAGCAGACTATGCCGTTTTGGCTACGGGGTGGCTTGCTTAGTTCCCCGGGTAATAGCGTAATCCGCGGTACACTCTATTCTATGGCTCTATGTTCATTGGTATAGTATGTGCAAATCATCTAAAGTAGGTACTACAACTGCAGACGCAACATCTCCATGCCAGTACCACACACCACCAGCTTACTTCCCGACGCATCGTGGAGGATGTCCAGCGACGAAATGTCCGCCACAGAACTGTACCGCTCCGCTGCCTTGCTGACCTGGATCCGGTCCGCCCCGCTCATCTTCGAGTCAATGTCGATCCACCAGATCTTGACTTGATGGTCGTTGCCGGACGATGCGACGGCGAATCGAGCAGTTCCGTCGCTTGGGTTGAGGTGCTGCGTGAGGATCTTAATTGTCGTTATGCAGGCTGCGTGGGCGTCGGGCACTGCGATGGTGCATGTGGCCGCGCCGTTCTCGATGCTCGTGTCGAGAAGAGTGACAGTCATCGAGTTGTCGTCGCCGGCTGCGACGATCAAGGACAGGGTGTTTGATAGATCGGCCAGTTCTAGGCTCTTGATGCTGTTCCAATGGATCTGGTAGCGGGTTTCGCATGAGATGGTTGCTGGGGTGATGGATGCTCCTTGGATGGTCTGCTTCATACGCAGCGGTGATGTGATCGTGTAGAAAGGTTCCAGAACGGAGGTCAGGTCCCAGAGTGTAAAGTAGCCGTCTGTGGAAGCTGTGATTAGGCTCAGTGACGAGCCCTTGCGCATAAAGTTCGCTTGCGTGAGGCAGTTGCTCATGTACGTGCCATTCGCTAAGAGGGTGAAGCTGCCTCCTTCGGTCGACGAGGTGTAATGGAAAATCTGCACAGTTAGCATCGCTCAAAAAGGGTGTATGGTCTGCTTACCTTGATGGTGGAGTTGGAATAGGTCAGACAGATTAGGAACGAACCCTCTGCCTGCTCGTCCTCCACCTCCAATACGTCGAAACTCGTTGTCCGAAGATCCGAGTTGGGGTCGCTCTTGGGACATTCTCCATCCAATGTCGTTCCAAGTCCAAACCGAGGAATCCAGTGTGTCCGCCAAACGAAGAACTGCTCGTAACCACCGCTCGTAAAGAGGAAGCGCCCGTCCGTGGACCACCCCACACTCTGAAGACCCGTGTGGTGCTCTCGCAAAAGCCGTAGACATTTGAACGCACCCCAGCGGTTCTCAGACTGCGGATCGCGAGGTGTAAAGATACGCACATTTGTATCTTCCGATCCCGTCGCGAACAACGGGCCCAGTCCACCCTGCTGAGTCGCAGACATAGCTTTCACCTCTCTTCCGTGGCTGCCAGAACGCAAGGTCCGGCTGGCGTCCGGATGTATCTCCATGCCACTAAAGCCGGATTGAATCCATAGGAGTGACCCAGCCCAAGCTTTTGTGTTGTTAGGCTGGAAAGCCCAGGCGCGCCGGCCGCCATTACACTTGTGCCTAGCGACTTCTGTCTGCGCGGATTCGTTCCAAAGCACAAAGTCCATGGGCTGAAATCCGTAGATCATGAGGTCCTGAGATACCTTGTCGATATAGGCTCCTTGGATCTCACAGTTGAAAGCCAGCGAGGCCAGATGCAGGGTTTGAAGAGAAATTGAAGGCTCCGCGCCTTCTGAGATAACCAGCTTGTGCACGCCGTAGGTCCCGCTCCGTCCACAGGTCAAAAAGTACGGATGCAGCTGTTCTTCCTCGCCGTATAGCGACGAGAATGACGTGATGTAGCTAAGTCCTTCACGACCGTGTAGCTTGCTTGGGGGCATGACGGGTTCGATACTCTCGGTATTGGCCACCTTATACAGAGCAAAATTGCCAGTGAGGGAGCCGAGTGCCAGGTACTGCTTACCACATACCAAGGATGCAGATGCCATACCGAAGCCGTACGGGAGATTGATAGTGATTCTATCCACGGACGGTCCATCACCTGACAACGATACCATGAAAAGCTCTGCTATCTCGGAGTTTGGATAAGACACAGTGAATACCAGGTTTGCTTCTGATTCTGAAACCTGGTTATAGTCGAGGAGGATCAAAATCAAAGGTCTTTGACCAACGTCGACAAGCCTTGTCAAGGTCTTGACATTATGATTGTAAAGCCGAATCGAACCTCTTGCGTTACCCACAAGGGCAATACCTTCCTGTGGTAAGCTGCCAACAACTGAATAAGATCGCAGGTCATCTTCGACGAATAATGTTTCTTTGAAGATATGTTGTTTAGACAAGTCTTGGGCATTGATATGCCCGACCTGAACCTCGCCACGGGCAGTCACAGCAATGAAATCGTTCTGTGAGACAAAATCAAACCCTTTGATGGACGTTTCCACGTGGGGTTCCGGGTTTTGAGTATCAACTGTCATCGTAATGCGGTCGTGTAGATTGGGTAAAACGAGGGATCCATTCTCGTCTGCCTTAATGGTAAAGTTCTTCACGGCTCCATCAGCGCCGCCGGTATAAATCACCGCCTCAGTATCGGTGCTGCGCACCTCCAAGGACCAGACGTGCTTGCCAGTGTGTTTGCGGATGGAGATGCCCTCGGTCAGCTTGAACTGGGGTGTCTGTGACGACGGGTCCCATGTGAGATCCCATAGTATGCACGTCGCATCTTCACCACGAGATATAAGATTCACTTTGCCTAATCCCTCTCCCACAGGGAGGAAGTTAACGCCCCAAATTCGAGCCAGATGCCCAAAAGCACTGGCAATGGTTTTTTCGGAACCGACCTCATTGTCATGAGCTACAGCACCAAATCCAGTGCTCCGGAGCTCAAATCCATCGGTCGAGTACGCCGGCGCATCGTGGCGAGACGTACGCTCGCAGTCAGAAATGTCCCAGATTCTGATCGTTCTATCGTCACTACAACTAGCCAGCAGTCGTCCGCTCTGGTCACCGCGCAAGGAAGCAATAGAAGGAGATAACCGGACTCCGAAGATTGACCCTTCATGGCCCGTAAAGAAGTGATGAATCGAACCGACTGCTCCTCCAGACTCATTCAGATAGGAAGACCAAACGATGATCTCTCCAAAAACAGTCCCTGCGGCAATCAGGATGTGAGAGTCCGAGAGGGCGACGATATCTGCAGAGTAGAGGATTGTGTTGACACCAGTAACAAGTGGCTTAATGTGAACAGCCTTTTCATGTTTTGACCCGTCTCCATCTACTATATGCAGACCAAGAACGGCATTGTGGGCCGTCAACACATATGCAGTCGCGGACTCCTCCTGGCTGGACGCACAACCAGCCAGAATCCAATCCGGCCCCTGGTATTCAGCACTTGAAGCCACAAGTCTTGCATTGGGCTCCTGAACAGAGAGAAACAAGTCAAAAGCTCTCACGGACTGTCCTCCCCAGGCAATGAACCGGGCATGTGAGGGTCCGGCAGCTTGCTCTTGTTGGCTGAGCGCAACGAACCCGTGCACATAATTTCGCTTGAAAGCCTTCAGCTCTGCGAGCAGATTCCCACTCGCTTCATCAATGAGTCTGATATAAGTGCCTTGGGCTTGGAGTAGAAGCTTGACATCCCTCAACTCAAGCGCTTTGAGCGCCGTTACGGGGACGCAAGTGTCAATGTGCTGGAGACGGTCAGCGATGTTGAGTATGATTGATATATAAGACTACCACTGACCTCAACGGAGGGATGCATTCTTCGAGGCACATTATCTACAAATGGTGGCTTCCCCCGCATGGCGATCATCGTTCAAAATTCCAGAATTTCCATCCACTGTGAATATGCTTACGTAATGGGTGGTGGGATGTGGTGTGGCACGTGACACAGCCTGCCAGAATCTGGGGGGTTTGCATTTGCTAGTGATTATATCGCTGCAGATAAGCCATAGTTCATCAACGAGGAACCCAGTCTATGGTAGATACTTGTATGGCCCCTATTGGGAATTGAGTGCGAAGATGATCAAAATATCATCCCTTGTCAATACTACAGTGTATGCAAATCATGGTTCACGTGATTGAGATCACTTGTCACTCTTCGGATGCATATTGTTGCTTCTACTTTGTTACTTCTACTCTGTGTAGCTGCATATTACTATGTGTGTATCGAAAAGGTGGGCTAAGTAATAGGACGAAGCCGCAATGCTTCAGCCGACTATTACGAGAATTCTTCATGACACACAATAACGGCAACACACTACACAAGATAAGATTAAGACGCGTAAGGGGAGGGCTCATTGTGAGGTGTGGGTAAAAAACACATTGAACGGAGAACAAGGGCAGTAGTAGCCGTGCAAAGGGTTGGAAAATTGTGCTTTGTACACAAGTAGCTGCTGCATCGGGTGGGTGGGAAGCGCTAATAAGACCAGCTTAACAGAATGCGGTCCATGCTGAGACAGCAGGTAGACTCCACAGGCTTATATTCAAGCTTGAAAAATTCAGCATGAGACTTGACTCTCACCACTGGGAAGCAGTATTGAGTGAGGACCTGTGGGGCAGAGTTATCGAGGGTGTAACTCCTGGTGACGATATGACTTGAGTGACCCGGAGCGTCAAAAAAAGTACAAAATCTGGCGTAAGCTACTGCCGAATCTCATCTGAAAGGGGTATAAGTGCCTGTGTCACAAGAGCTTGATAGCCATAGGCAAAAGGACGAAAAACTCTGCATAACATCATGTGTTGACGGGAGATGAACAAGGCCCCCCCCCACCGTTCGTCATGATGTTGCAGAATCACTAAGCAAGTACCGCTGGACCCGAGTTCCAGGAGTTCTGGTCCTGGGCGATCCGAATGCGGAGACGGCGATCACCTAGGCGATGGGCACTATCTGGACCTACTATCTGTGCGTTTATATGAGACTAAAGTATAGTCCCGCAGCGGTCTGGACTATCGCCCTGATTATCTCGATCGTGTGGTTCCGAAAAGGGGGTTTCTGGTGGAATTGCTCGAGCCAGCCATCGGGGCGGTTCTCTAGAGGACATCTACCTAGAATGAGAAGAAGAAATCAATAGGTTTAGATCATTGTGGGCATGAGACAAATGAGAAAAAAATAAAAAACGTAGCTAGCAAGCCACAAAACAGACACCATCACAATATGAGAATAGCTCAAACTCTGTATGACATTGACGAGTTGGTCAAACTTTCGCTTCATCTATTGGACTGATCGAGGGACCAGAAATCGATGACATCAGTTATTTTTAAGCGGATTCGTTGGGTCGTGATGACGTCGCGGGTTCCGGGGAAACCAGAAAGAAAAAGAAAATGGGTATATATGAAGCTTGCAGTGAAAGATGATCCCAGTTCCCCTGCGAATCCCCTTAATTTTCTAATAGGTTGTTCCTCCGGTTCCTCTGGATTGAAGTTAATTGCAAGAGAAAATTTGCCAATCGCCTTGCGTTGCTCGTGATCAACCAAAATTACTGCCTGATTTTCACCTTGTAATACTGGAAGCCTCTCAATCGGGTTTAGTGCTGGTCTAGTCTCGACGTCACGAACGAGACTCTAGAGTTGCAACCACAAGCAGTTCATTTCATTTCCAGCCCAACTCGCTCCACTCCTCCCCCCAGCCTTCAAAGGGGAAAAAGCACCCAAAAGCCCACTTCTTCCCCCTCTGGCTCAAGTGAAGGAATTTCGCAAGTGTCATTGATCCATCTGCTCATCGACTCTCAAGCGTGGTTCCTTACCATCATCACCACTCACACCCACCTTTCCCTCCACTTTGAACCATCTCGTGTCTCGATCTCGGACCCGTTGCATTGCCCACCCCTCTCGCCTTGATCCCTCTTCCGTCGCATCCCGTCGCGCCCTCCTGACACACGTCACTCCTGCGCAAAGAATCTCTTGAAAGATACCGCCTCGTCCGATTTGCAGCCAACCTTGGTGGCTTTCTTCTCTATTCTTTCGTTTCATCCCTTGTGTCTAGCCTTTCGCACTCGGACAATTCGCCATGCATCGCACCTATTCTATGCGCCAGTCGCGCCTGCCGACGGCCTCGCAGATTGAGAACCCTCCTCCGCCATTGTCTTCCACCAAGACGAACAGAATCTTTGGAAAGGGTGGTTTTGGTGAGTGATCCCCAAGAATGTTGGATCTTTGTTCTGGATGGAGATCAATGGCTCTGGTCACTCCCTATGCTAGGGGGGCCCTAGGCAACCACTATCTGCTGAGAACAAGCTGAGCCTTGTATGATGATTATACTGACAATGTCAATTCAGGCCATGCCTTGCGCAAGAACACGGCTGGTGCCTTCGGGCCTGACCTTGCCAGGAAGCTTTCCCAGTTGGTGAAGATGGAGAAGAACGTCATGCGCAGCATGGAGATGGTTTCTAGGGAGCGTATGGAAACTGCTGTATGTCTAGCGTTTCAACTTCTTGGAAGACACGAGGACTAATCGATGGCGCTGATAGCAACAACTCTCCATCTGGGGTGAAAACTGCGACGAAGATGTTTCCGACGTCACCGACAAGCTGGGAGTCTTGCTCTACGAGATTGGTGAACTGGAAGACCTCTTCGTCGACCGCTATGACCAGTACCGTGTCACCATCAAGAGCATCCGCAACATTGAGGCTTCTGTTCAGCCCAGCCGCGACCGTATGTGATTTCTTTGTCCTATTACCGATTTTTAGTACTAACATGCATACGCTTCTAGGCAAGCAGAAGATCACCGATGAGATTGCTAAGCTCAAGTACAAGGACCCCAACTCTCCTCGCATCGTCGTTCTGGAGCAAGAGCTTGTCCGTGCCGAGGCCGAATCCCTCGTGGCTGAAGCCCAGCTCTCCAACATCACCCGTGAGAAGCTCAAGGCAGCCTTCCAGTACCAGTTCGACGCCCTCAGGGAGCATTGCGAGAAGGTGGCCCTCATCGCTGGTTACGGCAAGCACCTCTTGGACCTGGTCGATGACACGCCGGTTACTCCAGGCGAGACTCGCCATGCTTATGATGGATATGACGCCAGCAAGGCCATCATCCAGGACTGTGAGGAAGCCCTCGCCAACTGGGTCACCTCCAAGGCGTCGGTCAAGCCTGCTCTCTCGCAGCGCTCGCGCACCCTGTCTCAGCGTCACCGTGAGGGCCTCAAGGGCCGTGAAGGCGTCGATCTTTCCGGCCAGGACCAGCCCATGGGCCGTGACTCTTGGGTGCCCGCGGATCAGCATGCGACCTACCAGCACGAGGTAGAGGATGGTGAGGAAGTGGCCAGCACTGTGGACGGAGAGTCGCGGGGTCGAGAAGAGGAGCGGGAGCCCGTCACGGTGTCTGTTTAAATAGGATGAGAACGTGGTGAAGATCAGCTTACCTTGGGGGATCATATATGATCATTGAGACCGCCAAAGTACTGATCAATCTCTCATCTTTGTCTCCATATTTGCGGCTTGAGATTCCCGCTTGATATGATTTTGTCGTTCTTCCTTGATGCCTTTTGTGTTTCTTTACCCCTAACGAGTTTTCCGTTACCTTACGATTAATTTAACCCCTGACGACGCATGTCCCGACACTAGTCATCGAGTTTATTCCCCTGTTGGTGAAGGAAATGGATTCCGACACGAGTGGTGGGAATATTCGCGATCCAAAGAGACATTGCCGGGTCAAAGGGGAACTTTCTCTACTGTCGAACTGATTAATGTATTACTATACCACCTGCGAGGAGGATGGAGCAGAGAGAGGAGAGAAAGACAGAGTATTTATAGTTGGTGCATTCCTTGAGTTCGTCTTGTGCTCGTGGTTTGAATCTCTGTGTTTTGGGATAGGAGTAGTAGGTACTTAATGAACTTGTTAATGAGCTGTGCAATGGCCTATACTTATTATTTTCTAATAAACGAGTCCTACGGAGAAGTGCAGTCCCAGGTAAGCCTGTGTCTACTTAGAAGCACGTAATCCCAGGTCAACTTAAGCAGCAGCAGCAGCAGTAGTAGTAGTCACCAATCATATTCACAGCCTACAAACCAAGCACACCACACAACCTCCAAAAACGAGCTAAAAGCAACGAACCAAAAGGATTATGGAAATAAAAAAGACACCCCCACGTCCAATACAATCTAATTTAGTAAAACAAAATCGTGACCATCTCTCCATATCACGTCATTCCTCAAATAGTCAATTCTTTTATTTACTCAAAGTGACCTTGACCTTCTCAGATCGATCGATCGATTGGGTCTTACTGTATGTAGCACATAGTTTCATGAGGATAAGATACTAGTAGTATGGAATGTACAATAATGTATTGGAGCTGATGTATTCTTGAACAGCCGTGGTAGTAGGGGGCCTACTACTAAAAGAGGAATATAATGAGTAAAAGGAAGAACTGTTCACTTCGTAGATGTTGGAATCATCACGGAGTAAAGATCAGCCGGGCTTGGATAGCTCCCTGTACTTTAGTTTTCTTAGTTTGCTTCCTTAGGCAGTAAATTAGGGGGTGATGTCACTGGCGGAAGAAGTGGCGGTCGGGGGCGGCCGGTCGGGAGGGAGGGAGGGGGGGCCACCAAGCGGCCGGATTCCCCGGATTGGTGGTATTGGGCGCAGCAACCATGTGACTCTTGTCTTTGTTGCCTCATAGAAATTACTACTAGGACTACTACCTAGGGACTGTGGCTGAATGCCGTCAGTCAAAGACAGATTATCTCGTCTACGGCTTCCCTGACTACTGATACATCTGATAACTCGCTGGTCTGTAGAAATAAGCCGTGCAGTTCATTCTGGCACTTGGGCTCGGCTGAAACCCATTTGGCATATAGTAGATAGATGATAAGATGGTAGTATGAGTGTGAAACACCGTGTACAAGAGTCGAGTCTTCGAGACCACTCAGTTGCACGAGGGCTAGTCAATGCGTTTAACAGCAACAACAACAACACCAACACCAACAGAAAACACAAGAGATGAACAAGCAACCCTTCCCAGTACTCCGATTGCGGGGGCACGTATGTATATGTATAAGGGGTTCACAGGACTCTATCCCTGACCCCCGGCCCGCTGAAAGCTCACAACAACAACAACAACAGCAACGACCATAAGCGAAACCATGTCCATGGCCCTTGAGAAATAACCGAACCAGGCTGAAGACGACCCACAAACCCTCATCTTCGCGCACACAAACAGGAGATAGAAGAACATAGGAAACGTGTCATTACATCGTCATCTGACTCCATCCTAGGATGGATGACCAGCCTAAAAGAGGGAAACAAAAACAGATGCGACGGGCCACTCAGTCTGTGAGTGAACCCATACAAAAGAAGACCCATGGAGATCCACGCAGGCACAATGTAAATATCGAAATGATTGAGGACGATGAAGCAAGGAACAAAGAAGCTCAAAAAAAGAATCAAGGATGCAACTTCTTTTCTTTTGAGTTCAGTTGTCGGTCCCGACGCCCTTCTTTTTTGGCTGAATATGTTTTTGCCCGGGGCCAGTAGCGTTGGTACCTTGGGAGGCCAAGGCTGTGCTGTCAGTTGGGGGAGGAGCCATGCGAGTCGAGCTGGCTTCGTGCTTTTCGGTCAAGAGGTTCTTCAGCCAGCGGTTCTCCATTTCGAGCTGCGCTACACGCGCCTCGAGAGTCGCGTTCTTTTCGGTGGTTTCGCGCACAGTGCGTTCGAGGGCCTGTTCGCGCTGTTTCTTCTTCATGCGAAACCGGGCGCTGGCAGCCGTATTGCGGCGTCGCCGGTCTTCTTCGGCAGCACGGCGGACACCCTCCTCCTGGCCAAGGGCGGAAGCAAGGTGATCGCCAGGAATCTGCGTGCTGTACTTGCTGTGGTTGATGTGGCCGTTTGGAGGTGAGATGGAAGAGGAGACATCGGAGGGTGTCATAGCACCCGCACCGTGCCCCAGGTCATCGGGAGGACCATATGAGATAGGTGGATAGATAGGATGGGCTGAGTAGGACAGCATTTGGTCTGTATAGAGGAGTCAATACACTTGTCCCTTGATAGTAGGTAGCGTGGGGTGGTAACACCCAAAGCCAAGAAGTGATATGGAGACAGCAAGAAGGGGGACAATGTTCAAGATCGGAAACAGAAGCAGGGGGAACATGGAGCACTTGAAGGGGGCCTTGGATGATCAAGAAGAGGTAAGCTCGGCATAAGGGTCCGTTAACGACAGGGTTCCCGACGTTGTCATTGGTGTGAACGATTGCGTGCTCAAATAGAGCGCTCATCCAGACATGGGGATGGCAACCCACCAGGACCTCAAGCTAAAGACACCAAAGACGAGCGAAAAGCATAGAAATAGAACCAAGGTGGGTAAGGTGTCCCGGAGCTGCAGAATTTTCGCAATGCAGCGAAAATTAAACAGAATCCAGAGAACTCCCCCGAAAAAGTAAAGGGGGAAAAGTGGTTACAGAGGGTATTCAATGTGGCCATTCTCAGGCAGCCAGAATTAAAGGACGCAGGGAGAATCATGTTCGAGACAATCTGGTCACAAGCAACAGGGACAAGGCATCTGCGGTTACATGCGCTTCCACAGCAACTTTCCAGCAGCATAACAAAGCCATCCAATGCCGTAGGGCTAGCGAAATTAAAGCGAACCACAAAGCACGAAAATTGCGCAAACGATGCAACGATGAGAGTCATAGGTCTTGGGAGACTTACCATGATACGGATATCCGCGCACATCGATCGGACTGCGTTCGTCCTCAATGCTATCATACGAACTGACGGAGAGACCGCCCATCCCCTCAGTCTGATCGTAATCCATGTTCAGATTCGAAAAGGCAGCCAGGCCGGCAGAATCTGCGTCAAAGGAATAGTGACGACTCTTGGCCAAGTTAGGATCGTGTCGAGAGAGAAGAAAGTTGAAGTTTTCGAGCCTATCGAAGCTCGAGGCTGTCTGACGAGCGAGGTGCTCATCTGACATATTGGCAGTGGAGGAGGTATTTAGAGGGATTCCGGCCCTTGCCCTCTAAATTAGGTTCGTTTTTGGGGTATTTTTCTTTTTCGTAACCGCCTGCCTCCCTAATTGCTTGGTGGCTGCGTCCCGGACAGGCAGGATCCAGAAGTGGTTTAGATGACAACAGAATGGTACAGAATTGACAAGCCAATGTCAAACCCCAGATCAGCGTGTTTAAGAAAATAAAAATAAAAAGGAGGGGAAGGGGGGGTGTGTGTGTCTGTGAGTGGAAAAGTAAGGTTCGGAGATAATACAGGTTGGCAGGAATATTTCACAGGATGCAGATTGGGTGACTTGTAGCAAAGATATCTGTTCTGCACTCACTCCATCGCTCGCAATGGCATGGCCCGGGACGGCTAGCCACGTACGCAGAGAAGCACGAGCAGTAATGGGACAATGGGCCGGGAGGGATGAGTGGGAGGGAGGGTAGAAGGGGGCGACCGGGAAAGCTAGTCAGGTTGCGATGTGGATCGAGACCAAGCGTGGCCAGATTAAAGAGAGGGGTGGGATTTCAGGTGAGTAGAGTTAGTTGCAGAAGGAGGAAACGACCAGCAAGCAGGACCATGTATCACCAGGGCGAAAAGATGAGAAAAACGAGCGTCAGGCCGGGGAATAAGCATGAAGGACCACGCAGTTGTGGTGATCGTCTCATGCCCGGGCAAGGCTAGTGGATGATCTGATAGAATGGAGAAATGTCGTGATCGCACGCTGTGGTTGGCCAGTCACAGCCTTGGAAATGCCCAATTGATTTCACCGCTTTGAGAGGCGGGCAGTTGCGGAGGAGTCCGGAGAGCGGGAGAGGAGGAGATGGATAGATAGATATAGTTTCCAGGGGAAAGGAAAGAAAAGTTGGGGAGAGAGGGGTGGGAAAGATAAAACAAAAGAAGATTGGATCGGATAGATTTTTGGGGAAGAAGGGGGTGCGTGGTCCAGGGTAAAAAAAAAAAAAATACACCAGTTACTACTTCCTGACTGTACTTACTCATTCCAGAATGTTAGGGAGAAGGCCCGGGAGAAGGCCCCGGGTAGGGGAGAGGAGGGGGGGAGGAGTAACGTACTAACTACTAACTACAACTACTTACTACTTACAGTACAATGCGGACGTCAACCTGTTATGATCATCGCCCAGACACGACAAAGACAGGCGAACGCCGTCCGAGAGGAGCGAAAGGTTCCCTCCCAGTCCCGCCCACTCCAACCACTGAAAAGGGGAAGTGCCACGGCACGGAGAACCAATTGGTAATCATGGGTAATTTTGATACCCACATTTGATTGTGGCTTAACTATGATTCCAACATCTCCGTTACGAGAACGCGACAGAGAGCCAACGACCTTCAAATCTAACATAACATTATCCGCCGCAGATTAGTATGGCCCGTATTGGGGTTAGCTTCCCACCAGGGGTTGGACCATGAGCCAATCCCCTTCCCTATGCACTGTCTCCTCCCAGATATTAATATTCTCTCCCAGTCCACCCATCGCTGAGCCAGACCTTGGATTCTCCACTGCTCTCACAAAAGCACCTTTGTCCGAGCCCTGGGATATTCTGTTTTGCCGTTTCAACTATTGCTCGGAGCAAATCATAATCAGTTAAACGCGTTGCTGAATGACGCGGTCCTTCCGGCCGTTGCTTCCTCGATCGAACTTTCGAGGCATCTGGTCAACTAACCATAACTACTACTAACATGCAAGCTTGGCGCTTCCGTCCGTCTCCTGAATCCATCTTCTTGCTCCTCGGTCTTTATCTCCTCTACTGGAGGGACTGCTTTCCCCGCGCTCCACGGCAGAATATGACCTCACTGTGCTGGTGGCCATCTTTGTTTGGCTATGATCAGACCGATCGACCTACTGCTCCCAAGTCCAACTCCCTAAACGGGTTCCCTTCAGGTGGGAAGATCTTTCTCCCCTTACATAGTCCTGTCGAGTTCCGAGGATTTGGTTAGTTGCGTCCTCGACTGGCCTGCAGAGTATCCTTAAGTACGGTCCTTACACCTGCACTGGTTTCGTTGCACAATTCCCGCAATGTGCATTATCTGGACCATGCGGTTGCTGTCATTTACAGTTCTTCTTTCGCGGGTCACCACAGACTACGCACTGTGTTGACTGGGTAGTCAAAATGGTCCCTGAGTGACGGGAGTTCTCCGGTAGGTGCGACTGACCTAGCACATCATTCCGTACCCACTGCATCCTGCTGTCATTCAGAAAGACTTTCCGATGGATGACACGGTCCACGGAGGAGTCTCGAATCTCACGGAGAGTGGATGTTCTCTTCTCGGGACCATCTCGGCGCCGCAAAGGACCACATTAACTCCAACTATGCATTAACCTACGTAAAGAAGGCTTACCACGTCGATAACCTAATAGGTTTTTCCGCGGCCGACTGGATAGGCTACTATCCACTTCTCCAACCGCCTACTGCGCCGCTGGAAGTTGATTCTCCACTGCCAATTCATGCCCCATGCCACCCATCTTCATGCTTGAATTCTTCCTGCCCACTTGCCAAGTAGAAGTTTCACAGGAAATCTCAGCTCATGTCTTACTCGCGCAGTAGCAGTGCCCTTAGGGCTCGTATGTTCGGCCCATGTTACCTTTTCGGAATGTATACATACCCACTAGGAAGAGACCAAGCGTAAAATCCACCATGATCACGAGAGATCCCGCTCCAGGCTGCGTGTTTTTAAAGTTTCGTGAGCTGATTGGGACTTTTCAGCCCTCTGCTACTTGCGTTACGTAGATTGCCACTTACTACAATTAAAGCCTAGAGTAGCCGTAACCTGCCTAGCACAGCGATGGTCACTAGTCATCGCCCCGGCTGGATTATGGTATACTACGCCAGCTTGTATAGTAGAGTTGCGAACGTCAGAGTTTTACAACGGCAGTAGTCCAATTGGGTATGGCTTACGAATGCTAATCGTTTGCAACTGTCTGTTGTTGTAGAGACGATACGCAATAACTACACCGGCTGATGAACTAGCACGTGCTCCAATGTTTACCAACGCGGAAGTTACGATCCATCTCTCCTTTGACCGTCAAGCTTTCTTTCTTTTTCTTTCTCGCGTATACTTGCTTATTTTTAACTCCTCGAAGGCTTCCGGATGGAGCAGGAAAATGTGATTCCATTTTATCAGACAAGAATCTATACTACCTGTACCGAGTCCAATTGCCATCATGTTGGCAGGAAAGACAAGGACGAGAACAAACACAGCTCACTTAATAGCGTGTGCGTCTTCTACCAAGCTCTGGTCCATCTATCAAACAGAGGAGCACCTATCCATTGGATAATCCGTTCACGTCCCAATATGACATGTCACACCTCCCGCTCCCGGGACCTTCAGCTGAGCAGAGTAGGCAACTTCAATCTTACTTGTTGAGGAGGCAGAGAGGTATAGCACTGCATCTTCCACGAAATGCGGGGGAGTTTGAGCTTTCCTTGACTGGGATATTCCAATGAAAATCCGATGCAGGCTTTTATCTGATCGAATTTTGACCTTAGTTTAAACCTTAGGCGCTGCAACAACTATGGGTTTGTAAGGCTACCAGCCCGCATGATCACTTGCTTAAATCCTCTATCGTGCTAACAATGAGCTTCTGCTAGTGATCACCCTCCTCTCTAAAAGCATCCACGAAGCACGGAAAATGGCCTGAGAAAGAGCGGTCGTCTGGAGAAAAACTCAAGGGAGAGATTCGCATGCCTGCGCATAGTAATGGCAATAGGTAGCAAGCATTTACAGGGTTATTCGAATCATCTTCAGGCCAGGAAGGAAGCCCACGTTGCTTCGAGTGCAACTACTGGGTAGAGATCATACTACCTCCATCGGAGTCGAAGGAGCGACGCTCATTGGTACACCCGGGTTTGCAGCGTTCGGTGGCATCAGGCACGCCCGATGAGATAGAAGGTATCCTACTGGATCGAGAAGTATTTCGTCCGAATGGCAGACGCGTGTGTCGCAATGAGACCTGGAGCTATGAAAGGTATGCGTCTGGTTCATTGAGAGCAAACAAGTGCGAGCAGGCATCGAGTCAGTGGCTGATCAGGGATTCTAAATCGATTCAGTTATCAACTCATCAACTGGCATTACCGATGACATCTAAGGAACCATGGATCCTGGCCGTAAAGAAACCTTTACTCTCTTTCTCTCCTATACAATAAAAGTACGTCACTATATTTTTCAATATAAAGCAGCTAAGATTCTTGAACGGGTGCAGCCATTCTCAAAGCGAGCAAGCGTCAGGGTTCAAAGACACAATTGAACGAACCATCGGCGCCAATGAGCCCGACGGAGACGGAAGCGACCGAGTGCCGACCGCCGACCGCCTCAAGGCTAGAGCGTCATTAATAATCTTGGCGATGACCCTCGGTTGGCTGTTCAAGAGGAAAAAGGAAAAATCTTGCCCAACGTTGGTCATCTGCTGGCAGTTGCTGTAATATCAGCCAAAGTGATCGGAGGGTCCATTCTACAAACACAGTAGATGACACATCGTCCCTGATCTTGCTCTACATCGACCTTCCCCTATTCCATCGCTTGCTGGGCGGAATAAGCTACACGCCACTTCACCCGAAAAATCCAGCGCTAAGCGGGACCGGCTGTGCCATATTCGATCCATCGCGTGAAGCGCTGTCATAGGCGCGCCGTCAGCTTCCAACTAACATCCGTTTTCCTGTGTATATCCCTGCGTGTGCGATCGGAGCGCCTTGAATGTTTTTAGTTTGCTTTTCATTCTTGTCTCCGGGTTCTATGCTTTCATAACTGTCAGCCAATCAATACCGGCCATAATTTCTAGTGCTTTCATCACAGACAAGACAACTGGCTGCTCTGTCTCCATCCGGTCCACTAAGCCCCCCCTATGGGCCTTCCTTACTCATGGTCACAGTAAACAGTTGCTTTGTGCATACAAAGCCATGCAGAACTCAGAAGTAGCTGCGGGATTGTTGCCCTCATGGGTTGTGCAAGATAATCATCCCATCATTCACAAGGGTGCAGGCACCCACAGCGACCAAGATCGGAGGAGCCGGAGGCGCAACCCACTGGTGAGCGACATCCTCTTCCGCTCTTGGATGTACATCAGTTGAACTTAATGGTGGCAGGCATGCGAAGCGTGTTATAAGAAGAAGGTCAAGTGCGAGACCGAAGGTTCCGGCGCAACATGTATACAATGCCTGCGTCGTAATACAACTTGCAAATTTACCACGAGAAAAGAGAAAAGAGATGACTTGAAGAGGTAATTATCTTATGTCTAGATTCTCTATACATATCCGACCTGAAGGCACTTGCTAATAAATACCCGTAGGGCACACTACGTGAGGACTCTGGAAAACCGAGTGAAGAGGACAGAGTCTATTCTCAGAGCCGCTGGCCTTCTAAGCGATGACCCGATGAGTTTGGATGGTGGGCTCAGCGACGAGGATGATAGAAGGCCCGACTATGGAAGTGACTCGGAAGATGAATCGATCTCGCCTTATTTTAGCCCCCGCGAGGTCTCCAGCCGGCGTAGTTCGGGGGCATTGACCTCGGATGGCTCAAGGGACTATGATCATCTGCAGTACCGTGCGCCAACTGAGGAAGACGCAGGATCTACTGCATCTCATGCCACACCATCTCGTCAGTCACTCGACCCTACCAACTCGTCCAAGCTTCCTGAGGACGGGAGCTCTTCTTCGAAAAAGTGCCCTCACACCCATGCCCCCGTATTCAAGTTGGATAGCAGAGAGGATTCGAGGTACTACGGTATGGCAACCGTTTATAATGCCACTTTCTGGCACCCATTGTGTTTCTAACGTACACTAGGTCGGTCATCTTCGCTGTCTATTCTGTCGCGGGAGGCACTGGATTGGATCAAGCACAAGACGGGCGAAGACACGATACTAAACGTCGTATTTTCCGACTCCAATAGTGATAACGCCTGGGATGCCTGGCGACCGGAAGTTTTCCACGACCTGTTTGCCTCGCAGGTGTTCAAGCCTTTGCCCCCGAGAGCAGAGGTGTTCACTTTGTTGCGGGACTATTTTCGCACAGTGAACCGCCTATTCCCACTTTATGATGAATCGTCTTTCATGCAGCTTGTTGAATGGCAATACACCCAACAAACGTGTGACGATGCTGCCCGATGGGCCAGTATCAATATCATCCTCTCGTTGGCCTACGAGTACCGCTTCTCTAACTGTCAAAAATCGGAGAAAGATCGAGAACGTGCATGGCTTTACTACAAGAACGCAATGTCAGTTTTTGCGGAGCTCTCTCTGCGACGGACTGATCTCCTAAGCGTGCAAGCCCTTTTAGGCATGGCTTTCTTTCTTCGTGGAAACTCGGGGACCCAGTCAGCATTACCAATAATCACGGCGGCCATGCGCATTTGCCAGCGGATGGGTCTACATCGCAATATACCAAGGCCTTACCTCACCCCAAAGGAACAGGAGCAAAGAAGGAGGGTATTTTGGATTGCATATATCCTCGATCAAAGGTAAGAAGTGCAAGATTCAAACCCACAGTCCATCCTTTCTGGGCAGTTTTAACTTATGCCTTTTCATAGCGCCTGTGTTCGATCAGGAAGCGCCCCAGCCCAGCACTTCGAAGACTTCGATGTGGATTTCCCTGTTGATCATATTCACGATCCGTTTGTGAAAGCTCGCGACGGCTCGTTCTTCCGCCATCTTTGCCAGCTTACGGTGATCAAAAGCCGTGTGTTCAGCAAGCTTTATGCAGCGAAAGCTTTGGAGAATAAGTCGCCAGAGGAGATCTACAACAATATTCGGGAGCTACACGATGAGCTCGAGGAGTGGAAGCGTGTCAATGCGCTCGAGTTTCGGATGAAACAAAGAGGTGCTGGTCAGGACTTCCTGATCGGCTTTGCCTCGGCGGGACTGCAGTTCGTCTATTATAATACCATGATTATGATACATCGACTGCCTCTGATGATTCAATTTGCCTCGGCGCACTGTATCGCGAGAGGCAACCACCCCCCAATGGACTATGACTTGATATCGAGCGAGGCGTCTGCTTCAGCTGCGATTTGCGTCCAAGCCGCCCGGGACACCGTGAGACTAGTGAATAATTTGCCATGGGGTGATATTGCATGGATATGGTAAGCAATAAACAGAATCCTTGTCTGCACGGCGGCTCTTTGGCGACTGACAATACCCAGGTCCTTACTGTACTACATCTTTTTGGCGGTCATGAACATTTTTGTGAATATTCTACGAGACCCGCAGCACAAGAAAGTCGAAGACGACCTACAGTCCCTGAACATGGCGGCGACGTTCTTCGCAACCCTCATTCCTGGCGATGGGCCTGGTCACTACGCTCGCTTCATGACGAAGATGTGTGCCAATTTCGAGCGCATAGCCAGGGTTGTCGTTGAGCGATATCAGAGAACCGTTAAACCTAGCGAAACGAAACATCACAGTTCATTCCGCAAATCCAGCACTACCGCAAAGGATCAGAAATCCGTGCGTGCGGTATCCCCTCAGTCATCACGCACATCCACCTATTCTAAATCCGGATCAAGCCCTCCCGTGCCTTCCTCCGTCCGCCTAAGCATCGACATTCCGAATCTTGAAGGCCTTCCCCCTGTCAACTCTGCCGGCTACGTGGTCCCCGATGACCTGACCCCCAGTCCAGTACAGGGTCCGACATTCTCCTCTCACCCAGTTACAACCACAACCACGCAGCCTCTTTCTCAATCCACACCTGCTCCTCCATCCGGTCCCCCTCGATCCTATGATAGCTCTCTACCAACAGGCCTCGAGAGCCCCTTCTTCCCCATCACAGTCAACAGTGACGGCTTCAACTTTTCCCAGCCCGAACTCTGGCAAATTCCCTTAACAGCAGACTGGGAAGTCACGCCACACGCCTTAGGCAGCTTGTTCGGGCCCGACTTCAACTATCTTTTCCCGCAGCAAACAGACTCGAGCAGTAATGAATTCCAACCGACGAGCCAGGTTGCCGGCCAACCCATGACAACTGCACCAGCGCCCATGGAATTCGCTTATGCCAATACCATGGCCGACGCGCAGAATCCCAGCCGGAACCGCAACCGCAGTCAGCATGGCGGGGTGCCTACAACTGCAGATCAGCCATTGCAGGAAAACGATATGTGGATGGCCGGCATGTATTCGAATCCATATAATCTCCCACCCTGACCGGACCGATATTTTCAGCTTCATGTGTGAATCCGAGAAATGAAATTGTACATACCGAGCATGAGTGACGATCAGATATTCAAAATATAACTATCATTAAACTAGTGGAAAAGGCTGATAATGTAATAAAATTTCCTTGATATAGTTCATTTGTACTGCACCTTGTACCTTGTGTAAACCAGTAAACCCATAGAAAGAGCAAGATACACAGCATGAAATTGAACACCATTCCCTTCCCTTTGTTGATCCCAGAGTAAGAAAAAGAAGAAAGAAACAGCCTAACCCCAAGCAACCAAACACCACCAGTCCCATCCATATACACAACCGGGAATAAAAATAAATACCTACAAACCGAAAGAGAAAAACCCCATAATACCAAAACTAAACCAAACCAAACCAAACACCTCATAGAGAAAAATCACCTAACTAGAACACAACCCCACTAAGTTTCCTAACCGCCATACTCCAAACCCCACCACCAAGCTTCAACGCAGCCGCATCACCACCCTTCTTCTCAGCACCGCCACGCAGCCCCTTCGCAAGAATCTTCCGCATCTCCACCTCGGAAATTCCAGCCTCGTTCCCACTCCCGAATCCATAGACTTTGCTAGCGATCACATCGGTCTTGATATCCAAGGTACCGATATCACTCTTGTCACTACCACTATCCTGGCCCTCATCACCATGGGTAGTGTTGTGCAGAATGCGGGTTGTAACGGCAAAGTCGACGTCAATGCGTCGGCGTTTGCTGTCGGGTGTGGTACCCGTGGAGAGGAGCGTGCATCTTGCGCGGAGGGAGGGAGAGGAGTCGTTCGCTTCGAGGAGCTTGAGTTTGGTGACGCCGCAGAATTCGAGCATACGGGCTTCTTCTTCGAGTTTGAGGGTGAGGTCCCAGGCTTGGGAGATGAAGTGGAGGAGGTGTTTAGGGGTGGGTTTTTGTTGGGGAGTGGTGGTGGTGATGTGGGATTGGAGGGATTTGAGGACGAGGAGGGAGATGGGGGAGAGCTGGGCGGTGGGTGTGGTGGTAGAGCGCTTGGTGTCGGATGTAGGGGCGTATTTTAGGTCGATTGGTGTGGGTGGGTTTGTGTTGTTGTTGGTGTTGGTGTGAAAGAAGGCAGGGTGGAAGGTGAGTTGGAGTTGGTTGCGGTAGGACATGGTTATGGCTGGGCCGGCGGAGGATCCTTCTGGAGGGGAGGTCGCGGAGATGATGCTCCAGCCGGTTTGGCGCTCTAGGTTGCGGACGGATTCTTTCAGCTCGCTAATCTCTTTGGCGCTCCAGCCGCGGCATTCTTCTTTGATTCGTTCTGCTTCCTCGATTTGAGCGGTGTATTCTGCTTTGAGTGCTGTGCCGGACTCGATCGTGTCGGTTTTGGTTTTGAGTTCCTCTTGCATCTCCTGTAGTCGGCGCTTCTTCTCTTCGATTTCGGCCTCCACGGTAGAGAGCTTCTCTCTTGTACTGCGGAGTTCGTCCTGGTCGCAGTTCTCCATCTCATCAGCGAGTTGCTGGAGTGTCGCGGCTTCTTTTTCGAGGGCGGAGTGCTTTTCTTCGAGACCTGGTACGACTCCGGTCAAGAGGGCTTCATGCTTGGATAGGGTGTCGCCGTCGGCCTTCATCTCCTGCACGTGCCGGTCAAGTCCGTCTTTCAGGCCTTCGAGGAGCTTCATGCGCCACTCGTACCATGTGGCTTTGCTTTGGAGTCTGGCGTGCGTCTTGACGTTGCGGAACTGGTTGTCCATCAAGAGACGAATGTCGGGTGGTGCTGTCATGTATTCACGGAACAGCGGCGGGTTTTCGGCGTAGGTCTCGGTTTCGATCGAGCGAATGATCTGTCTTCCTTCGGAGATATAGGACTTCAGTTCGCGACAAGACTGAAGTAATGTTAGTAAGATGACAAAAGCAATATAGATGGAAGCGCGGAGGCTTACGTGTTGATAGAGCTCGAGCATGGGGACAGTGCAGAAACCAGCTGCCACGCAGGCTTCAAAGTCAGAAGCACTTGACTTAGTCTCGCTCTCAGTTGAAAGTCGCATTGCTCGTTTGGAAGCACTATCAGGAGCAGTGGTATGCCGCCGTTTTGTCGTCGTGAGCTCCATGAAGTGGATGTTGGTCATGTTCAGGAAGTCCTGCAACTGTATTGGTTCAAATTGCGGACCAGGCTCTTCAGCAACAGTGTCCTGTTCTTCCAATGGTTCGGCACCAGACGGTAACTTTGAGGACAATCGACCGTGTTTCTCCGGACTGGTCGCCAGGGAGCTGCCTTTCGGCTCCTGGAGAGGAGTGGTGCTCATCTTCAATGGAGAGCCACTGAAGAGTTTAAGAGGCGAACGGGCTGCACGCCCAACCGTTTCATCCTTGGACGGAGGTGCAGGAAGCCTGATGTTCTTCACCGGACTCACATTTTCACGCCCCCTCAAACGCTTTGGTGTGCTATCAACATCTTCATCATCCATATCCAGCTCGGCTGGCCGTTTGCCGAGGACGCCACGAGCGGCGCCAACATGCAAGCTCTTTCTCCCACGCAGCTTATTCTTCTTCGGGGTAAGACTTGAGATCATGTCTTTCAGATTAGCTGTGGGATCCCGATCATTGAGGGGTGGCGGTGGAATATGCCCATCTTCTCGGTTCTCTTCCTCTTCGCGCTCCCTCTCAACCTCCTCCTGGAGCTTCACGGGATCTTCAAAGCGCACTCCCTGTTTAGACGGTTCTTGGGGGATGAACTGCGGTGCCTCTTCACCGATCGATCGACGCTTGTCAAGCATAGCGGCCACCTTGGGCGATCCAAGGCCTTCTTTATCGATCCCGAGACCTGAAGATCGTCTTTTTCCATGAGGTTGCAGGACAAACAGAGGAGCTGACTTTCCAGATGCAGACTTCTCGAACAGACTTTTACGCCTTGGAGATTTCTTCCCGCTTGCAGGTCCCGTAGGGTTCGCCTGCGGTGGCTTCTCTGGCGATGTATTCTGATCATCAGTGGATTTAGACGGAGTTTCAGCAGGTGAGAGTCCGCTGGCCTGCAGCGCCGGTTCCTTCGGAGATTGCTGTGATGTCTGAGAGGTTGGGGTGCTCAAAGCAGCATGGCTTAGGCTTTGTCGGGTCCGCCTGGATCTCACACTGGCCAGGCTAGGGCTTCCGTTCTCTAAAGCAACGGCAGCGACATGGAACGAGGCGGGTGATTTAGCTGGGGACTGACGAGCGGAACCCTGGAAGGGTGAGCTACCGAGGCGAGCAGCAGTCGGTTCGGCATTTGGCTCTACTTCCATTGGTTCTTCAACGGTCTTCTGTGGCCCTGCTTGAGGTGAGATTATCTTACCCACGGCAGTCGTGAAATCCATGCCCTGGGTTTGATCCTCATCTTGTGGTTCGGTTTGCTCCTGAGCTGCGGGAAGTATGCCACCAATGGCCCCGGTCATTTCCATGTCCATTCCTTCATCCATATTGTCATCTTCGTTCTCCCAGGCAGAAAAATCAGGTGCCTTGGAACTTGGCGTGAATGATTCTGCTGGGCCATCGTCGTTCTCATTGGCGACATTAGCTGTAAATGGTTTGTTCAGAACGCCACCAACGACCGACGTGAATTCCATGGTCATCTCCTCATCTTCGTCTGCGTTGCTGTAGGCTCCTGTTGACTTGGCTGGCGAAATAGGTTGCGCGATGCCTCCAACGACGTTGGTCAATTCCATGGTTTGTTCATCGTACACGGTCTCTGCGCCAAGTGACATGCGACTTCTCATGCTCTGACGACGGCTCTGCTGGCCTGGAAGAATACGTCCAATGGCATTCGTCACTTCCATACTGAGGTCCTCATCCCCATTGTCGCTTGCTGCATCTACCTCAGCCGGTTGGTCGGCCACGAACCCTGAGGGCTGCACATTCTCCTGGTCATGCCGAGCGCTAATGTCTTCCCAATCAAAACTTTGGCGTTCACCTTTCTTGATCCAAGGCTGGAAGGCGCCTGTGATCTTCTGATCGGCAATCTCCATCGACATGTCACCGTCATCATCGTCCTCAATGCCACGAGTGCCTGCTTCTCGGGCCGCTTGCCGTAGAGCCTCATTTAGCCGAGCACTGGAGCTGGTGCTAGCCTCAGACCCATCTGACCGAGTCGTGACTGCAGAACGAGCGGTCATATCGTCCATACTCATCGCGGTACTTTCCCCGTCAGAGCCGGAAACTGATGAATTGTCATCATCGTCGATGTCTTCCTGCGAACCTTGTAATCCGGTATATTCACTGCCGTCCGCCGAGCTCCCGCTGAATGGGCTTGAGGACATCTCCTGCGATGACGTTGAGCGGTTCTGGAGCTGCTGTAGATCTGGGTACTGAACGGGGGAAAAGCCGATATCTGATTCTGCGTCCAGGTCGGGAGAAGGAGGATCTTCCGGGGGGTTCTTTTGTGCGGGGGTCTGATTTGCCAGGGACGATGCACGCCTGGTTGAGTTGGAGGTAGATGAAGAGGTCGAGTCATCAGGTATCTCCACAACATTCCACGTGTGCAATGTTGCTTCTGGGGCAAATGAAACACGGCGATTTGCTGTCGCGGTCTATCAGCTTAATGTTATAATAGGAAAGCTGTATGACGAACCCATAGATTTCCGGCGCGCCTCTCTTCGCTCAAGGATCGTCTTGCGCTCGCGCTCCCGCTGTTCCTTCTCTTCTCGCTCTCTCACCGCGGCCATTTCATCCCGGATTGAAGCGGCGGTGAAGCTATCGAAAGGATTGGACGGGTCGTCACCCGCAGAGCCTGACGGTTGTGCCGGAGTATCGAAGTCTATTAACATGCCCTCTTTGCCCTGGTCCGGGGCTTCACCTGTGCCGTCATTGTGAGGTGGACCGCGAGCGGGAGTCCGTCTGCGTGTCTCCTCAAACGTAGGAATGTTGCGAACCGGGGAAACGGGAACTGTAGGTTTCAGGATAGACTTGAGGGGGAAGGCTGCAGTAGACTTGAACGCGACAGGATTGATATTAGTATAAGCGACAGATAAGGGCATCGGAAGGCAGAGTGCGGAGCTACCTTGCGTCGATTGCCATTTGAATCTTGGAGCGCATCTAGACCACCAGGTCCCAGACTCTTACTGCGCGACTTCTTATCCTTTGCCGAGAGCTTTGGACGCTCACCAATAGGTTGAGAAGAGCTGATATTTGTGGTGGCATTCTCCTTGTCCAAGGTAGAGGTCAACTGCGATCGAGGGACATGGGCGATAGAGCGACGAGATCGCGGGCGGGAAGACCCCGCGGAGTCACTTCGGGACGCCATGGGAGTCTATATTGAGGGGGACATGAAAGATGAAGAGGAGATTGATGAGGTAGTTGAACAGCGTCACCCGCGATATCCAACTGACTAGTTAGGGGGATCAGTCCGGGGAATGACAACAAGTAACGAGTTTACTCCCCTAAAGTTTCACCATAAACACTTAGATGGATCGGGCCTCGAGCTTCCCGCGCGTCACCCGGTCGGCGCTCATGTGACCGGGGGATGTAAACAAACCAAAACGGATAGCCCTAGCCGAGTCCCAAAACAGACTAGCGCCCCCATCGCACACTCACAGGCCGAATATCCGCCATCGTCGAATAAATCTTCTCCAACATCGACGTCGACCACCGCAGGCCCCGACACCCACCCTCCGCGACGAATTATACCACCCAGCTCGACTTCGCTTCCTCGTCGGACTGAATTCTCGCAACAATGGCGACCGAGTTGACCGTCCAGTCGGAACGTGCGTTCCAGAAGCAGCCTCACATCTTCGTCAACCCCAAGGCTCAGGCGAAGAGCAAGAAGGTTGGCACCGGCCGCCGTTGGTACAAGGATGTCGGTCTTGGTTTCCGTACCCCCAAGACCGCCATTGAGGGCTCCTACATCGGTATGCACGACCTATGTTGAAATTTTATTTTGCGGCGTTATCGACTTCCGATCATGCGGGACCGGGACTGGGAATCTTTCGGAGGCTATGGGGAGATGAGAATATGCCGCATGGGAAAGGGAGAAATCACCTGGAGAGCGCCAGCATGAATCTACGATAAAGTGCAACTACACCATGCAAAGGATCTGGATGAAATGCGACAAGAGAAGGAATCAGAGATCAGACCTGGAAAGAGCGCTTGGCGACAGATTTGCGGAACCCGGTTATTCTCATCTCTCAAAGGCTCCGGAGAAGTCCAGTCATGTTGTTCAAATCCCAGGTGGGACAAAATAACTGATATCGAACAGACAAGAAGTGCCCCTTCACCGGTCTGGTTTCCATCCGTGGCCGTATCCTGACCGGCCGTGTCGTCTCCACCAAGATGCACCGTACCATCGTCATCCGCCGTGAATACCTCCACTACGTCCCCAAGTACAACCGTTACGAGAAGAGACACAAGAACCTTGCCGCTCACGTCTCTCCCGCTTTCCGTGTTGAGGAAGGTGACTGGGTCACCGTCGGCCAGTGCCGTCCCCTCTCCAAGACTGTATGTCAAACCTTCCTCGGAATATCTTCTACGATCGCTGGTGGCAAATGCGTTTCTTTCCTATACGCCTGGAAAGAATACGGATGATGCCTAGTGCTACTGAAGATATTCCACATGTGACTCGCACAATCGTTTGCAATGGATGCGCTAACATAGTATTCAGGTCCGCTTCAACGTCCTCCGTGTCCTTCCCCGTACCGGTAAGGCCGTGAAGGCTTTCTCCAAGTTCTAAGCGTCTCGATGAGGAAGGGTGTGTTTTCGCGAGGACGAACCTAGGGCAGCGGCGTGACTGGATATAAACGGAATAGTTTCTCGGGTTGGGATTGTTTCACGATTTCATGTCCCAGGTACCCTTGTGGAAGGAATATCCAATGAAAAAATTACTTTGATTCTCCCACATAGACTTTTTATATCTGTACGAGATCTCAGAGCACTGAGGGAGAGTTCGGTATGCTAGTGTGAAATCTAGCCTTTCTAATCGATTCACTGCCGCTTCCAGTTTGGGTCTTTTTTTTGATGTTCCTTATCGCTTTCACTGCGGGCACTTAGCGCCAATAGTCAAGGGTAGTATTCGTAGGTGCACTGACCCTTTCTAATTAGCTGATATAAAGCAAGTACTAGCTACATTTTAGTGGCCTTTCAATTATCTCCAACTCATTGATAAAACACTACAGAGTACATCTCTCCCCTTGGTACTAACGTACACCATTCCTTCGACCAGATCTGTCGACCCTTATCTTACAACATTCCTTTCAACAATCGTGAGTACTGAACCGATAATAATATCGACGACGAGTACGCAATACAGGCAAATATGGGGCAGAAAGAGGAACGAGACTACTGAAGAAGCCAGCGTCGTCGACGTTCTCGATCTCTCACAAACCGAATGTGGGGCAGTACCTCCTCAGACAACTCACGGGACATGCTCAGAATTGAATATCTAGTCTCGATATCATGCATAATGTCGCTTTCGCCTTCTACGGATATACCCCTCATTTCCTGGGTATCATTGCTGGATGGTGGCTGCATATAAGATTGATAGTCATCCTCTTCCATTTTCTGCGCGAGTCTCGCTTGTTCTTGGACCCATCCGCCAGTTATGGGGTCGAAGATCTCGATGGTAGGGATGCGGGTCTGAGATATGTTCAAGTTCAAGGATGACAGTACTTGAGTGTCTTCTTCAGGCCAATCCGTAATCAGCTCAGCTGATCGGTTAGACTCTTGCTCAGAAAATAGGTTAATTTGTCGTCCAGTGACTTCTTCCTCGTCTTCTCCATCTTCGTCTGTTATCAGTTCATCATCTGTATCTCTCATGAAGAACCAGTCAGGAGTGGAAAGGGGTTTTCTTTCTGAGGTATGTGCGGCTAACTCGCGCCCCATGCAGGGTGAGCTGGCACCGATATCCTCAGATTCGCTATCACTCATATTCTCGTCTTCTGCAATAGATCCACACTCGGTGATTGACCCGTCATCCGATATATCATGAACAATGGATTCTGGACGTCCGACTTCGCTGACACTGGTAGATGGTATAGAGCGATCGTAGCCAGCACATACTCCCTCATGAAAGGACTCCCAAGTTCCTTGCCTCTTCAGTCTCCAGGAGTGGAATAAGCCCTCGCTCACCTCCCTGCTGAACTCGAATGGGAGATTAATAGAGTTAAGAAATTTTCCTATTGCATATCCCGAAGTGTGGTCAAGTTTGCCGGCATCTCTAGCTAGCTCGCCTTGCAACTGCTTTCTGTTGTATTTGTGAGATGCAAGTTTATCAAGCTGTAGGAAATGCCCAATCTCAGCATGCTCGTCTGCGAGCTGTTGTATCGTGCTTATTTTTACAGCACATATTATAGCAGCGGGTGGTATCTTTCCCCATACCAAGAACTCGCCTCTACCGTCGTAGCCTCGGATACGCAGATTTTGTTCCCTGAATAGCTTAATCGCGGGATATACGTCGGTATCAAGCTTATGTGTGTCAATGATGGATATAATAGCGCCTTCTTTGTTCCAGAGTGCTCTGTGAACAGGCGATAACATTGAGCGAAACGTAGATACGAACGGTGATGGCGTTTTGTCGATGTGAACATGTCTAGAGAAGTAGTTGAGAAATTCTTCTTGAGATATATCCCCAGGTGTGAAGAATTGGCGTCCATCTGCAAAAAGTCCGGCCAGGAATAGCATTTTTGAATTGACGCCTTGACTGTCGATATTAGACCATCTGTATATGACAGGGGGCACTTCATCAGTCCAACGTGAACGAGATCCCACAGTATTCAATTCTTTACGTGCTTTCTGCTGAATGTGGTATTAGTTTATATGTTACTTGGGTATCACTTGGGTCTCACATTCAAAATCTGCTCTTGTACACACCAAAAGCATACTTTGTCGCCGCCACTGCATAGGCTAAGATCGATCTGAGTTATATCCACGATTTCTGGTACTGGGGCTTGTTCCTGCACTCCAGTAATACCAACATTTCTTCTCTCAGGGCGCTGTGTCATAGACGTGTGCTGAGGAGTTATCTCTGGCATCTCGACTTGTGGTGCCAGGCTCTGCTGATGGCTGCAAGTTTCCTCATTGTCGTCGACATAATTCGGGACTATATGTAGACCTAATAACCTCGCAGTCCTTCTAATCCGTCTCAGGGTTGGAATCCAGCGCCAATGTCCCTCGGATGTATGCTGCTGAACTTCTTTCCACTCCGGGTACGAAGATCTCACCATTTCACCCCACTGCGCGCGTAGAGTACTTGATGGGATGCCCTCGGTAAATCCACATTTTGTCACCTCCGATTCAAACACTCGATTGAATATGTCTCTGAAGGCGCTCGTGTTTCTCTGAAAGAACTCATATAGACAGCAGAGGAACAGTCTCTGTTCCCGTGTCCATTTGTTTTGGAGTCGTGGAGTTCTATAGTCAAGACCAATCTCGGGATCCATCACGACAATCGAGTGTTGCATGAAAGAGTAGTGAAACGAAATAGTATGAGATAGTTTCTAGATTAGGCTTCAGCAAGAGACTGGTGGGCCACACAAGTGGGGTGAGCGAGCGATATTGGAAGCTTGTTTTCAGCAAAGATTTGTGGGTGGAAGAATAAGCGAGGAAGATAATAGCTTGATTACAGACTTCTAACATGGCTACATGTCTGTAAAGAGTAAATTCTTCTGTGGGGCCTTTGAAAAAAAGTGTGAGAAAGAGGCGTATGCCTCCTTTCTAAACAGTGTAGGTGGGCTAACTAGTATTCATATCGATTACTGGGTTTTGAAATCGGTTTGGGTGTGACCACTGAAGCCTATATTTGTAAGATGAATATCATTCAGTATAAATGAGTCCAGGTCATGTTAAAAGTATCGTTAACAGAAGTTGAACCTGACACTAATATAATGACTTTTGGAGACTCAGATAGTGAGGTTACTGGTAGTAGCGAAGGCATTCCAGAAATATATATTATCGATCACGTGAGGACAGAACGCATACCTACAAATGTAGTGACTCAGTAGAATTGCACTTGATGGAAGGCTCCACTTATAGTTTGTGTCAACTCAAATGTGAGGCAATCAAATAATAATATTTCTAAGAAGTGACACTTCACTCTACCCTCATCTTTCTTTTTGTACCACAGTGGTAGAGATCATCCTCAACAGCGTGGTACATACGTAGTAGTTCGTCGGATAACATCATCGCGCCGACCCAAACAGCACTAGGCGGTTCCTAGCCTAGTTGGGTGCAACCGGGCGCTCCACTGCGATGCCGCTTTGAAGTCCAACATCCCGAACTGCCTGAAGCTCTCTCTCTCTCTCTCCCCGACTTGTTCTCATAAATCTTCCCTTCCTGTTCCCTTGACCGCTTCGATCATCGAACCCCCCACCACCCTTCCTCTGGGG